TGTACTCTTTATGGGAGCAGACTGCCAGGTCTTACTCCCACAGAGCCACTGGATGGGTTCAAACCACTAACCTTTCACTTAGCAGCTGAGTGCTCAATCATTGCACCTCCAGGATAACTAGTAACTAAGCCACTGAAGATGGGGATATTTATGATATGAATTAGGGGAAATGGAAAAGGTAGGTATATTTAGTGAAGTGGAGGAGATAACTAAAAAGTCTTTTTAAAACTATTAAAAGTGAATGGAAGAAATAATTTAAAAGAGCTGAAGAAAAGATTGTAAAGGGCAGCTAGAGAAGATAGTATTATAAGGAAATGTGCAAACACCTGGAGTTAGAAAATCAAAAGGGAAGAATATGCTTGGCATCTCTCAAGCAGAAAGAAGGAAGGAAAAAATTCAAGCCTCAAGTTGCAATACTGAAGGATTCTATGGGCAAAATATCACACTTGGTAAAGTAGAAGGAAGACCCTCAACATGATGGATTAACACAGCGGCTGCAATGATGGGTTCAAATATAGCAAGAATTCTGAGGATGGTGCAGGACCAGGCAGTGTTTTGTTCTGTTGTACATGGGGTCATTGTGAGTCAGAGTCAACTTGAAGGCACCTAACAACAACAACAACATGGGCAAAATATTGAATGATGCAGGAAGCATCAAAAGAAGATAAAACAAATACATAGTCACTATACTAAAAAGAAGCAGTCAACATTTAACCATTTCAGGAAGTAGCTTATGATCAAGAACCAATACTATTGAAGGAAGACGTCTAAGCTGCACTGAAGGAATTAGTGAAAAACAATGCTCCAGGAATTGACAGAATATCCATTGAGATGTTTCAATAAACAAATCAGTGCTGGGGCACTCACTTGTTTATGCCAAGAAATTTGAAGAGAGCAACCTGGTCAAGTGACTGGAAGAGATCCACATTTGTGCCCATTACAAAGAATGGTGATGCAACAGATTGTAGAAATAGTGGAACAACATCATTAATATCACACACAAGTAAAATTTTGCTGAAGATAATTCAAAAATAGTTGCAGTAGTATGTTGTTGTTGTTGTTGTTATGTGCCGTCGAGTCGGCCCAGAAATTCAAACTGGATTCAGAAGAGGACGTGGAATGAGGGATATCATTGCTGATATCAGATGGATCTTGGCTTAAAACAAAGAATATCAGAAATATATTTGTGTTTTATTGACACAGGTTTTCAAAGACATTCAACTGTGTGGCTCATAACAAATTGTGAAGAATGGGAATTCCAGAACATTTAATTGTGCTCATGAGGAGCCTGTACATAGACCAAGAGGCAGTCATTCAAACAGAACATGGTTTAAAATCAGTGAGGTGGTCAGGGTTGTGTCCTTTCACCATACTTATTCAATCTATATATTGAGAAAATAATCTGAGAAGCTGGACTATATGAAGAGGAATGTGGCATCAGAATTGTAGGACTAATCATTAATGACCTATGATCTGGAGATGACACAACCTTGCTTGCTGAAAGTGAAGATGACTTGAAGCACTTACTGATGAAAATCAAGGACTATAGCCCTCAGTATGGATTACATCTCAACATAAAGAAAACAAATATTCTCACAACTGGACAAATAAGCCATATCTTGATAAATGGAGAAAAGACTGAAGCTGTCAAGGATGTCATTTTACTTGGATCCACAAGCAACACCCATGGAAGCAGCAGTCAAGAAATCAAATAGCATATTGTGTTGGGTAAATCTGGAGCAAAAAACTTCTTTACAGTATTACAAAGCAAAGATGTCACTTTGAAGGCTAAGGTGCACCTGCACCAAGCCATGGTGTTGTCAATAGCCTCATATGCATTTTGAGAGCTGGAAAATGAATAAAGAAGACTGAAGAAGAATTGATATATTTTAGTTATGATGTTGGCAAAGAACTGAATGTACCACGGACTGGTAGAAGAATGATCAAATCTGTCTTGGAGGAAGTACCGATGGAAGGTTCCTTAGAAGTGAAAATGGCCAGATTTCATCTCTCATGTCAGAAGGGACCAATCCTGGGAGAAGGATATCATGATGAAGTAGAGGGTCTGCAAAAAAAGGAAAGACCCTCACCAAGATGGATTGACACAGTGGCTGCACTGATGGGCTCAGACATGGCAGCGATTGTGAGGATGGTGCATGATGAGGGAGTGTTTCATTCTATTGTACACAGTGTCACTATGAGTCAGAACCAATTCGGTGGTACCTAACAACAATAATAACAACAAGCACAAGGACACAGATAAAATGTCTTCTTTTCTTTTCTTTTCAAAAAGAATGAATTACCTTAACATGAAACTCATTATCCAATAAGATATTTTGAGTTTTTAAGTCATGATGAAGTAGAGGAGGATTCATATTGTGCAGATAATTTACTCCCAGTGCAATTTCATGCAGGATGCGGAATCGTAGTGGCCAAGCAACATCAGGAAATTCAGTTTTCTTTATATAGATGAAAAGAAACAATATCAAAATTAGTGGTCAAATTTCATTACACTTCACACTTACAAAGTTCCACATTTCATGAGGAAAAACAGTATCGACCAGTGTCAAAACATTAATTTTTATAATATATTGTGAGATTGACATTAGTTAATACCCTTATGTCCTACATCTTCACTTATCAGTGAAAATAATTATGACTTGATAGTATTGATGGTTCTTTTCAGTCTACATTAGTAATACAGCTACATGGTATTGGGTCTTATTTCTTCAATTGAAATAACAATAATATTATTTCAAGAAGTTCAAAACTTATTCTTCAATAAGTTTAAGTTATTTTGTATCTGTACAATAGCCACACATACAAATCTGTACAATATTACACTCATACCTACTTTACATATTCCATAGCTTATGGCAATTAACTTGTAAATACACACACATGTATACATGCACACAATTTGTTTCTACTATATAACAAACTATTTATTCAAAATTTGTATTTCAATTTTTTTATTAACATAATTTATTGTTATAGTAATCATTGCATCAATTCAACTTTATGGCCACTTTGTATTTATTCATGAGTTCTGGTAGCATAGTGCCTAAGGCACTTGACTGCTAACCAGAAGGCTGGCGGTTCAAACCCACCAGCCACTCCTTGGAAGGAAGGTTGGGCAATCTACTTCCGTAGTGATACCATCTCAGAAACGCAAGGAAGAGTCACTACGAGTTGGGGCCAACTCGACGGCACAGAATACTAACAACAACAACATTGTATTTATTCACTGCATTAATAACCCATACTTTAAATCATGATTTATTTATGTTCCATCATGAAAAATTAGCCTTTGCTAATTTTGTTCTCATGAAGGAGATAAAAGATCATCTTTCTTTTATAATACAGATACATTTCAAATATAAAGTTATCTTATTCCTGGTACTTCTAAGTAATAGCCATTTTGACTTTCTTAAAATAAATGCTTCTGAACATAAAAAATGCATGCAATTTCCCAAGACAAGAAACATATTAAGAAAAATCAGACAATACAAGAAAAATCAGACAATATGGGAAGACTGACAGTGGATTATCATGGAGCTCTGGTAGTGCTGTAGTTAAGATATTGGGCTGCTAACTAAAAGGTCAGCAGTTCAATCCCAGTAGCTGCTCAGAGGGAGAAAGATGAGGCAGTCTACTTCTGTAAGACTTATAACCTTGGAAACCCTATTGGGGTTGCTGTGAGCTGGAACTGACTCGATGGCAGTGGGTCTGGGACAATGAATTATCAGGCACCATGCCACCACTAGGTACATTTTTCTAAATGCTATGATAAAAAATATGCTTGTACTGAAAGCTCAAGGCTGTTCTAGAGTTTTTTTTTTTTTTTTTTTTCCTGTGAGTAGGTCAATTTCTAGCTCAGTGATCAACAGGGCAGGGGAGTGATATAAAATTATCTTACATCATTTACACTATATTTTGATTTTCCTCAACAATCTTCTGTGGTGTTTGGGAGGGCGGTGGTGACTCCTGATAAATCCCACTCTTAATAATACAATTACACAAAACCAAAAGGGATAGAAAACACTCATGTTGAACATCATTTCCTCTGGCATACACAGAGCTCCTTTCTCTTGAGTAACTAAATTTTTTAATCTGTAAAAGGTAACTTTTTTTTTTTTTTTTTAAACCATGCAGTTGAAAGGAGTAACCAGGTCTCTCTGCAGTACAGTGTTGTATGATGGTTTTTGACCCTGGAAACAAGGGTAGAATAGAGCTCACACTGTACTTCATGATTCCTGCAGGATTTAGGAATCCTGGAGGACTTTCCAGAATTTCCAGTGGGCTCCAAATTGGGGTGCTAGAGTATCTACTGAGGTGTAGAAAACAATGAAATTTTTACTTGTATCCATTTTTCAAAGAAATGAAATTGTGCTTTATTAATATTTCATATATATCCTGACCTAGTTACTTTATTTCATCCTTGTTTCAGACAGGCACTTGTCATAAATAGAACGAGAAGTATTGAGAAACAAAGAGGAAGTTGCTCCAAGAGAGGCTGACCGTGTACCCACTCTGACCTCATTCACTTGCTGAGTACCGTGATGTATTATAATTTAGGAGTGCCCAATAATGGCTTTTACAGATTATACTACCCAGTCTTAACTAAACCAATGCTCACAAAATGCAGTAAGTGACTTAAAAAAGATCTCTTGAGAGAAATCGCAGATTGGTGATAATGTTAATAATGTAAGCTCAAGCAAAAACAATATATGAATACACGTATTTTGTAGATGAGGATCCCTAAATTTGTTTACTGATAGGATGTACGATCAAACCTATAGTAACTGGGAGCTTGAGAAAATGGATAAATGACACATGCCATTGGCTATTAGTGGAAAAGTGAATATACTTGGTACAGATAGATTTGTTTGGCCTGATAATTTATGAACTGGTATACATAACATTTAATTTCAATCATAAATTGTCTTTAATATACAATAAAATCAGTCTTAACTAATAGTGGATTGTTTAGTGTGTATATTTTGTCTTTTCTCTCCTACCCCCTACCTGTGTGTGTAAGTATTTGGATATTAGAATTCAGTGTTAACCCCAGGGGCTGGAACTTAGGTCTCTTAGAATATAGGGCCTGACTCCATAGTAATTACAGTAACACAAAAGATGCTAAAAGGTGCTTTTTTACAACAGCGATTATTTTCAATTATTCTGATTTATCTCTATGTCCTCAAATAATATGATCCAATGAAAAACGAAAGTACAACGTAGCTTTAATAATAGAAATGATAATTACAGCCACTGAAAATGCAGAATACTTACCCTGTGTAGGAGCTCATTTAATGATCCATTTGGCATGTATTCAGTAACTATTCCCAAAAATTCAGGCTCATTGCAAATTCCCAGAATTGGAAGAATATAACTAAATCTAGCTTTGTGTAAAATTTCAGCTTCCCTTAAGACATCCTTTCTTTCACTAAGGAAAGAAAACACGTAATTATTTCAAGCAATGAAAAATACACAGTTTTCATGCTCATAAGACGAACGCAGCCTGGATTTTTTTCCACCATTAATTAACTATATGACCTCAAGCAAATTATGCAATCTCTCCACCTTAGTTTCATCATAATTAAAATAGGGATAATAACTACCCTGTGTATTCTACAGGTCTGTTTAGAGACCAAAATAACTTCTATAATCCACTGACAGGTAAAAGTGCTATAAAACACAAAACAAAACAAAACAACCCGACAACAACAACAAAAATAACAAACAAACCTAACTGCCACAGAATCGACTCAGACTCATAGTGACCCCCATTGGGTTTCCAAGGCAGTAAGCTTTTACAGAAGTAGACTGCCTCATCTTCCTTCTGCAGATCAGCTGGTGGGCTTGAAATACCAACCTTCTGATTAGCAGACAAATGCCTTAGGCACTGAGCCACCAGAGCACCTTAAAAGTGTTATACACAGGTCATTACTATCGTACTGTTTTTATGAAAAACACAATATTAGAGTAAGTTTATAAAGCCTATTTTTGCTAGAACTGAGAAGCTCTGGTGAAACAGTGGTTAAAGGGAAAAGACCACCTGCTGCTCTGCTTCTGTAAAGATTTACAGCTTTGGAAACCCTATGGTGCAGTATTGCTCTGTCCTATCAGGTCGTTATGAATCGGAATCAACTCTAGGGCAGTGTTTATGCTAGTTATTGATTTTTGAACTAATTAAACCATCAAGCTCATATTGTAATTAAATGACTAGATTAGATTATAGTTGTTGTTATGTGCCTTCTAGTCCCCAACTCATAGCGACCCCTCCTTGGGTTTCTGAGGCGGTATCACTACGGAAGTAGATTGCCCAACCTTCTTATTGAGGAGTGGCTGGTGAGTTTGAACCACCAGCTTTCTGGTTAGCAGTCAAGTGCCTCAGGCAGTATGCTACCAGAGCTCCTAAATTAGATTAGGATATTATATTCCATTATCTTGTTGCATAAAAATAAAAATCTTGTTGCATAAAAAATTTCCCCAAATGTCATGAACATTAAAAAATTTAAACATACACTTAAACGATCAAACGATAACATCTGCATAAGGGTCAGTAATGCTTATTGTTGTTGTTAGGTGCAGTTGAGTAGGTTCCAACTCAGCAACCCCACAGGCAACAGAAAGAAACACTGCCCAGTCTTGTGTCATCCTCACAACTGTTGCTATACTTGAGCCTACTGTTGCAGCGATGATGTCAATCCATCTCTTTCTCTTTTTCATTGGTCCTGTACTTTTCCAATCATGATGTTCTTCTCCAGGGACTTGTCCTGCCTGAGAACATGTCTAAAGTATTGTAGATGAATTGAGCCATCTTTGTTTCTAAGGAGCATTCTGGTTGTATTATTTTCAAGACAGATTTGTTCACTTTCTAACAGTCCATGGTATATTCAAGACTTTTTTGCCAACACTATAATTCAAATACATCAATTCTTCTTTGGTCTTCTTTATTCATTGCCCAGCTTTCATATGCACAAGACAACTGAAAATACCATGGCTTGCGTCAGGCATACCTTTGTCCTCAAAGTGACATCTTTGCTTTTCAACACTTTAAAGAGATCTTTGGCAGCAGATTAGTCCAGTGTGACATGTCACCTGATTTCCATGGTGTTGAATATAGAATCAGCCAAGTGAAATGAAATCCATGACTACTTCAATCTTTTGTCTGTTTATCAAGATGTTGCATACTGTTTCAATTGTGAGGATTTTTATATTCTTTCTGCTGATATGTAATCCATACTGAAAGCCAAAGTCTTTAATTCCAGTCCACTTTACTTTCAGCAAGTAAGGTTGTGTTATCTGCATATTTCAGGTTATTAATGAGACTTTCTCCAATTCTGATGCTGTGTTCTTCTTCATATAGTCCAGCTTCTCATATTATTTGCTCAGCATACAGATTGAATGAGTATGGTGAAAGCATATAAACCTGAAGCATACCTCCTGCTTTTAAATCATATAGTATCCTCTCATTTTGTCTGAACCACTGCCTCTATGGTCTACATACAGGTTCTGCATAATTATAACTAAGTATTAAGGAATTCTCCTTAGGCACTACACCACCAGAGCTCCTTGCTTAACCAATGAAGAATTAACCAAAAAAAAAAAAAAAAAAGGAAGGGAATTGGCAATGTCATCAGTAGTTTTTAGCTTGGATTACAGGGAAATGGAGGCAGCAACAACAGAAACAGAAACATCTTGAGGAGAACCCTATTAGGTAAATGATGATCAAAGGCCTGGATGAATGGCTATTGAAATAAGAATAGGAACAGAAATTCCAGATGGGATCAAGAAGCCTGCTTTAAAAACAAGTAACAGAAAGGAAAACTAAACAAAAAATCTCAGTCACTTAATATTTGAATACCAACCTATTACCAGTGAGTTGATTCTGACTCATAG